CAAACTTGTCGGGTGCTTGGGAATTCGGAGAGTTCTTTTTTGGTGAACTGTGCCAATAAGTCACGGCCTAGATTTTCTGCAGTTTGTCAAGCTATTGATACAGAGAAAGAAAGAGCAGCTTTGCTTCCAGAGAGCAAATCGAATGCAATGATTAGCAGTGGTAGCCAAAAATTGAGTCAAAGTAGAGGGAGGACAGAGCTGGATGAAAGAGTAGAACCTTTTCAAAAGTTCTCTAGAAAAACACAAGTTGAAGTTTTAAAAACCCCAGAGTTTGTTCCTTTTACTTTAGAGAAAAAATATAGAATTTTAAATCCTCAATTTAATGTTAGCAGCCCTCCAGCTGAGTTTTAGTTAGCAGGGAGACACTGTGAAACATGTAGTAATGTTTCTAAAGTTATCAGAGATATAAATTTGAAGACAAACACTGAGGCAAATTTTAGCTTTGTTCCTAGATCCGGGGAACACGCCTCCTTCCCAACCCCTTTGGGCAGAACTTCGGAGGAGGCGTGTTGTTTGATAGAGCCCTCCCCTGTCCTTCATGGCAAGGCTCCAAGCGGTGCGTGTTGTTTAGAAGTCTCTGCCAAGAATCTAGAAGTGTGTTCTCATGCTCACCCTAGCAGAATTCCCAAAAAAGCTAGTTGCTAGAGCAACATCTCTGCCAAAAATTCAGACATTAGCAGACTTCCCAAGACATCTACTTTCAGTGAAATTGTTTGTTCCCCTGAGTTAGAAAAAGTGATGAAAGATAGACATAAAATGAAAACTACAATTAGACAAAGTGAAACAGAATCCTATAGTTCATTTTTAGATAGATTAACTCAAGCAGTCGAAAGGCAATGTCCAGATGAACAAGCCTGTTCCTATATTGTTCAAACCTTGCGTATGTAAATGCTAATGACGAATGTAAAAAAATTATTTTAACTTTTCCTGATCATACTCCAATCATTACCCAGATGCTAATAGCTTGCAGTAGACTTATAAATTCATAAAATCCTGCAAATTCACAAGTCAATGCTTTAGAAAAAACATTAGAAGACAATTTGACACAACAAATAGATAAAATTGAAAAGCTGTTAGCACTGGCAGTTAGATTCTGACGAAAGGCCTCATTGCTTTACTTGTTGTAAACCTAGTCATGTTAAAAAAAAAGATTGTCTTGTGTAAACATTCCAACCAAAACAACTTTCTACCTATCATAAGATATGATTGTCATGATGTATATAATCTGCTAATGTCTTGTACAAGTTTTGTCCTTTCTCCACAGAAGTTTCCAAAATCCCAATTACTTCACTACATAGACGATTTGCTCATCACAGCTTCAACGCAGACAGAGATGCAGCAAACCTGTGCTAGTGTTAAGACTAAAATCCAGAGTGCTAGACTTGACATTTCTACGACCACAGTCCAAAGATACGAGAAAAATCCAAAGTTGAGACATCAACTCTCCAAAGAAGACAAGCTCATCGCTGCATTCCAGGTGTAGTTCGAGTTTTTCAGCTTTTCCCTCAACCTTTTAATTTAATCACAGATTCTGCCTATGTTGCTAATGTAGTTAAGAGATTAGAAGAGTCAATTTTAAAAGATGCTAGCAACGAAATTTTATATCATTGGCTTTCATGTCTTTTTACAACTTTGCAATATAGAACTAATCCATATTTTGTTTCTCACATCAGGGCTCATTCTTCACTTCCTAAATTTTTAGTAGAAAGAAATGCGAGAGCAGACAAACTGACAATAGTTATTTCAAACACTTTGCCAAACATTTTTGAACAAGCAAAATTGAGTCATGCTTTTTTTCACCAAAATGCACAAGCACTTGTACGAATGTTTCAAATCTCTAAAAGTCAAGCTAAAGCTATCATCAGTACTTGCCCTGACTGTCAGCTTGTGCAACCTCCTGCTTCTACAGGAGCAGTCAACCCCCGAAGTTTGCAAAGTCTGCAGTTGTAGCAAACAGACATCACTAAATACCCTTCCTTTAGTAAATTCAAAAATATTCATGCTTCAGTCTACATGTTCTCTAGTGCAATTTTTGCTTCCCTTCACGCAAGTGAAACAGGCAATCATGCCTGTCATCATTTCCTGCAAGCTTTTGCTTCATTGGGTGTACCCCAAGAAGTGAAAACTGACAATAGTCCCGCATACATATCTCAAAAATTAGCCACGTTTCTAAACGAATGGAGTGTTCAACACATCTTTGGTATTCCCCACTCTCCCACAAGCCAAGCAATTATTGAAAAGGCACATCAAACCCTAAAACGCATTTTAGATCAACAGAGAGGGGGAATGGAGATCACACCACAGATGAGGCTGAACAAGGCTCTGTATGTTTTTAATTTTCTAAACAGTTTGGGTGCAGAACCTAATCCACCAATCTTTAGGCACTTTTCAAATAACACACAGGCAAAACTGAAAGAAAATCCTCCTGTTCTAATTAGAAACCCTGAATCTGGACAGATTGAAGGTCCTTTTCAATTAATAATGTGAGGCAAAGGGTATGCTTCTGTCTCTACAGGTGCTGGAATTAAGTTGGTCTCTGCCAAAAACGTCAAACCATATCACACCTCAGAACATGTTGATGAGCCCAGAACTGAGGAAGCAAGTACGCAGACATGAGCCAAACAGAGAGATCCCGGGTCTCGCCTGACGTTCCTTGTGCATCAGTAGAACCTGCAAACTCTGATTTTGTGTTAATGTTATTCATGAGTGTGCCAATTGTATGTTGAATGTTTGTTTAACAGAACTAATTTTTGGCAAAAGTTAAAGTTATTGTTTTTTAAAAAGAACAAAATTTTAAAATCGATATATCTGTAAAGAATCTGCCAAAACTTAGCTCATGAAAAAGATGGAGCAAATTCAAGTTATATGTTCGTATTAGTAGATTTTAATTGTTTTTTGTCGTGCAGATTTGCCTGTAGAACAACTGAAAACAAATGTTTAGGTGACCTTAGACAAAGCAGCCGGATACTATATATTTGTCTAACTCACAACCAGAAAAACCTTTTTCAACCTGTCTAGTTAGTGTGCCAGTAAAAGAGTTGCCTTTTGTCAAAAAACAATCCAATAGTAAGCCAAGTAGAATTGACAATAGAAACAATCCCTCATTTAATTAGAACGTTTAGTCCAAATAACTTCCCAAAGCAGCATCTGAACCTCAAGAATTAGAAATCCTTAGATCTTTGACCATAGATTTTTGTTTTACTTTCATAGCTTGTGCCTTGCAAAAAAGTGATCCCCCAAAGTACAATGTTACCCCCCTCATTATTTTGCATATAAGAATTTGAGTTTTTAGTGTCATTTCTCAAACAGTTGAAATGTGCTTTCTGAAGCTGATCAATATCCACAGCAATTGCCGAAAGAGTCTTAGTTCATTTGCAGAGGCAGAGCTTAGCAAAGCATTCCAACTCACCTTGAAGGTAGCCCTTGTAGCATTAGTATGCTCACCATAATTGCCCCCACTGCCAAAGCAGTGATGAAAAAGAAACAAAGGAGAACGAGAGCTGTCCCTCATTATGGGGAGACCTGTCAGAGTGATTTTTATGCCTTAGAATGCTGCCAGAAGAGTTTCAGCAAGTTTGTTTTTACCCCAATTAGCTTCAGCAGTAGCATTGAAACAATGGATCAAGTTAGAGGCTAGCTGAGCAAACAAGCCAATGCGACATCCTCTGCAATTAGTGATATGTTAACCGATGTTGATAGTGTTAGACATGCTACTCTTCAAAACAGAGCAGCCATTGATTTTCTTTTACTAGCACAAAAACATAGTTGTGAGGAATTTAAAAAATTGTGTTGTATGAATTTGTCCAATCATTCTGAGTCCATTCACAAAAGCATACAAAAACTGAAAGATCTGACAGCTCAAATTAAAGAAGATAGTAGTTCCTAGCTAAACAATTTGTTTCAAGAATAGAAGTTTGCACCTTAGCTAAGACAACTTTGCAAGATAGGTCTTCTTGTATTAAGTGTTCTAGTATTGATATTGGTAGTAATACCCTGCATACTTCAGTGTGTACGGCGAATGATTAACAAAACAGCCCAAGAAGTCTTTGTCATACAAGAGAGAGAATTAAGAAGTAGAAGCACAGAGAGTGTTCAAAATCTCACAGAAGTAGTAAACAAAAGTGTAGACATAAAAGAAAGTTTTGAATTGACCCTAGATTCAACCAGAGATTTTCAACAATGACTTGTAACTATTGTCAAATGTAATTCATATCTCTTTCAAAGATTAAGCCTTCACAGCACTAAGTTGCTGTGCTGTAACATAGCAATGCTTAAGATCAGCGCGAATAGGCCTCCAGCAAATAATAAGCAGAAATTTTACAGTACAGCTATGAAACGCAAGTAGTAAACGACAAGAAAATGAAAGTTTCTTTCT